GGCAGACCCTCAATGAGATGGATTGATTCAGTGACTGAGATAATAGTAATAGGTGTGTTGGAGACAATGAGATTGGCACAGGATAGAGCAGGGCTTAAGGGTCACTATGATTGGCAGGTGACTCCATAGCACATAACAACAACAACATATAAACTTCTATCATTCTATCTTCATCCTCGTTACTTCATTTGTGTCTGTCCTTTTAGACTTCTTGCAGTATAATATTTATGAATATATATAAATCTTTTGTGTTAGTGGTTACGTTTCTTTAGAAGTATTTTATCTTAAGTATCGATTGTAATTCATGATGTCTTTCTTATTTCCTCTTCAGAATTTTTTTTACTGATTCAGAAGAACTCTGAATAAATAGATATATTATTTTTTGTGTGTCTAGGAGGAGTGGCATCCACTTCCGAAATAACTTGCCTCCGGAAACACTATGAACCTGGAGAGAGGATGAGAGACACCCAAGCATTGAGCAATCTCCTTCATAGGGTCGCTATGAGTCACCTGTGACTCGACGGCACTGAACAACAACAACAACATATTGCACATATTTGTTTTTCAAAATTTATTATGGTTGTTATCTTGCAGAATATTATATTATCTAGGCATAGGATTTTATTATCTCCAAATAAATGATTTTACAACTTTATGCCAATTCAGATGCTTTTTGTTTTATTCTTTCTTGTCTTATTTTTCTGGCTAGAACTTCTAATACAATGTTGAAGGAGAGTCAATATAGGAGATCTTTGTTTTTTGCTTTTGTGTGGAGTTATTCTTATCTCTCCATTGAGATTAAAATGTACTGGATTTTGGTGGTTTTTGTTCATTTGATTATTTTTAAAAATACCAGAAATTATGTTGAGGAATTTTCCTTCTAATCCTGTTATCCTGATAGATATAATCAGGAACTAGTGTTGGATTTTTCTAAATATCTCTTCTGTATCTATTGATATGATCAACTTTGTTATTTATTTCTTTGTTTTACTTATTTAGTGGGTTGTCTTGATGGTTTTTGTAATGTTGAACCATCTTTGTATGCCTAATACGAACTCCAACTGTTTGTAATGTATTTGTGTATGTGTATGTGTTCCTAAAATAGAAAATATGGTATTAGATTCTATTATTAAGTATTTTGCTACCTATGTTTATCTGCTTATGTTTTTGCATTATGCAGTTTTATTTTGGATTATAACAGTATTTGTCAGGTACTATTATTAAAAAAAAAACCAAAAAGCCAAAGAACCAAAAACAAATTAAGACAGAGTAGGAAGAAGGATTG